GAAAGATAAAACTCCCAGAAGTGGACGGTGTTAAATAAACAGACAGTAGTTTCCTTTTTTATCAATAAGTTTACAAGATTTTCTCTCAGCCCCATCAGGCTTGCATCATTCTGCTAATCAAAAGAAGAATAACAGCGGATTAAAAAAACCCAAACTAACTGCATTAGTACAGATTAAATGAGCTTTGGTCAGCTGTCACAATATAAAGGTAAAAAGACTGTCTCCATGTGTTTCTCCCTTAAGAAAATTAAGGGAGAAACACATGGAGACAGTCTTTTTTAATCCCTTAAGAAAAACAATGATCTCAAAAAAATTATTAGTCAACATGAAATAAAGCCGGCTGGTGAATTTAAGTATCTGGGTGTAGTTTTAGATTAAAAATTTAAATTTGATGCCCATATTAAGAAAATGACAAAAACTATAAAGACAAATATAAACTGTTTTCGAATGATTCGACCATATGTATCAAATCAAGCTGCACAAGTATATTTGCATGCAATGATTTTATCCCATATGTCTTATTGCGCCATCGTTTAGGCCCAGGCCACAAAGTCTGTTTTAAAACCTTTACTCTCACTTCACAAGCAAGCATTAAAAATATTCGATCAACAACCGGTGAAGTGGCATCACTGCAAATTATTAAAAAATACAATATGATGACATTTGAAAATTTGATAAATTTCTCATTTTTAAAAGCTATTTTTAAATGCCTTAATGGTCTTGCCCCTGAGGTAATCTGTAAATTAGTTTTAAAGTATGCAAATGAAGGAATCAGGACAAGAGCTGGAGCTAGTGGGAACTGCAGGATTAAAAGATGTCGGACATCTATGGGTCAGTCGGCCTTCTCAGTGAAAGCATCACATCTCTGGAACTCTTTGCCTCTGGAGCTTCAGTCACAGACTGATATTCCACTTTTCTCCACAACATTGAAAAAATGGCTCAAAGACAATCAAGAGTGTGAGCACTAAACTGGCTCGTACTGTACATTTTTGTTTTAACCGCTCTTATTTTATTTATTTATTTTTTTTGTTTTTATGCATCTGTGTGTCGTTATTAACCTCCCTCCCCCTTAATACTAACACCTTTTAAAAGCCTAACCAGGGACCAAGGCTGCAAATTAGCCCATGGCTACAAGCCTTATGTACTTGGACATCGGCCACCTGTTTGGTTGCAATGTTTAATTGTACTGTCCCTGTCAAATAAACAAGTAAATTAATAAATAAAAAGGTCTTATTGATTTACTTTTATAAATTATAAAAATATTCTGAGTGGTTTTTGGTCAGATATCCTTCATGGGGGTCGATAAAAGCTGGAGGTGTTTGACGAATGATGATCAAAGTGGATCTTTAGACAAAAGGGGAGAGGGAACCTAGCAACCACAAGGATGGTTGATGAAAATCTGCATGTTTGTGTGTTGGGCGGGGGGGTGGGGGTTGCTGGTTGGTCCCCCATTAAAAGAAAGAGGGGTTTTTATTTTTATTTTTTTTATTTATTTATTTATTTATTTATTTTTTATTATTTTTTTTACATATATTTTTTTTTATCTATTTATTATTTTTTTTATTATTTTATTATTTATATATATATATATATATATATATATATATATATATATATATATTTTTTTTTTTTTTTAAGAATTAATTTTTAGAAAGTCTCCTGTCACGTCGTGTTTCTAGGGTTTGTTAGATAAAAAGTGTCACATTACATTCACAAAAAAAAGAAAAAATTCCTTCTTTAAACCGAAAACCACAGGAAATAAAACTAAACAACCTTTAAAACGATTGAAAGAATCCAGTCCTTCCTCTGTGTTGCACAGAGGCTTTTGTTGTCTGGGAGATGAATGGAGCTGCGGACCGGCGGCTCCATCGCAACTAATTCACATAAATACTGCTGAACAGAAACACAAACATTCTCACTTACAAGCCTCGCAGTCGCGTCTAATTATTGGCTATAAAACCAGAGAAACTGCAAATAAGAAAGTCAAAATATAGTTTTTTGCTCTTTATTCCTATTAACAGGAATGCCTGATCTTCTTGGTGTAATTCTCATTATTATGTAATCTATCTGTTTCTCTTATTGCACAAGACTTTTAAACATTTGGGCCAAATTCACACTGATAACTGCTGGACGCTCGAAAATATCTTTTTATTCTTAGACTATAAGGAAATAAATATGTACTCATTAAATATTGCTACAGGGAAATTAACAACATTTTATTTTCTCACATAGAAAGATGCATAATAGAAGGAACATATGTTCCTAAATTACAGCTAAAAGAAAATATGTTCAGTTTTCCACGACCCGTGCTGTTAAAAGATGATTGTGTGACATAAAACTGGTCTACTGGTAAATCTGACAGAAGGGAAAACAATGCAGTGCTAATGGCTGGAAGCATGGCACTGCTGGGATTTCACAGCACAAATAATGATTCCTCCACCCGCCATGAAAAAGGCTTTTGGTATTCTGTGAAAACCAGGAATCCTGTAAAACAAGATAAATTGGTAAAATATAAAGGAAGGATGTCACCTTTCTGCCTTTTCAAAAATCAAACATGTTAAGTTGGTGAAAAATAACCAATTTTCTCAGCTTTAAAGTCGTAGGGATAATTAGGGATCAATCATATTTAATTTCAAATCCTTCTGGCTTAAACATGTATATAAATGTTCTCTTTATTAGACCAAAATGTAAAAAAAAAAAACACAGATTTTAAGACAGAAATCCTTTTCCGTTATCTTCTGCAGGCCAGTTAGTTCATCAGCCTGAACATCTAAATTCAGCCAATCATATATCAACGGTCATCTGTGTCATTTTTTCGGTTATAGCATCTTGATTCATTTGTCGCAGCTAATATACGCAACGGTTGAAATCAGAATCTTTGCAGAGTAGAGGTGACTATTACAGGTGTATAGGTGGAGAGGGAATTTTTGGCTGTTTCTTAATTCACAAGACGGGCTAACGTTAGCCTTGCCCGCTGCAGACTGGCTAACGTTAGCCCCGGCCGCCGCAGACGGGCTAATGTTAGCCTTGCCCGCTGCAGACTGGCTAACGTTAGCCCCGGCCGCCGCAGACGGGCTAATGTTAGCCTTGGCCGCTGCAGACTGGCTAACGTTAGCCCCGGTCGCTGCAGACTGGCTAATATTAGCCCCAGCCGCTGCAGACGGGCTAATGTTAGCCTTGGCTGCTGCAGACTGGCTAACGTTAGCCCCAGCTGCTGCAGACTGGCTAATATTAGCCCCAGCCGCTGCGGTCTGGCTAATGTTAGCCTTGGCTGCTGCAGACTGGCTAATGTTAGCCTTGGCCGCTGCAGACTGGCTAACGTTGGCCCCGGCCGCTGCAGACTGGCTAACGTTAGCCCCAGCCGCTGCAGACGGACTAACGTTAGCCTTGGCCGCTGCAGACTGGCTAATGTTAGCCCCGGCCGCTGCAGACTGGCTAATGTTAGCCCCGGCCGCTGCAGACTGGCTAATGTTAGCCTTGGCTGCTGCAGACTGGCTAACCTTAGCCTCGGCCGCTGCAGACGGGCTAATGTTAGCCATGGCCGCTGCAGACTGGCTAACGTTAGCCCCGGCCGCTGCAGACGGGCTAATATTAGCCCCAGCCGCTGCAGACGGGCTAATGTTAGCCTTGGCTGCTGCAGACTGGCTAACATTAGCCCCAGCTGCTGCAGACTGGCTAATATTAGCCCCGGCCGCTGCAGACTGGCTAATGTTAGCCTTGGCTGCTGCAGACTGGCTAACGTTAGCCCCGGCCGCTCTAGACGGGCTAATATTAGCCTTGGCCGCTGCAGACTGGCTAATCTGTTAGTTCAATCTCTAACGTTCTGCTCTCTCTGCTTTTTCTCATAGTAGCTTCATCTGGTCTGTTCCTGTTTGGCTGTGACTCCATCCTGGAGAGAAATATCAGCTGTGCTGCTGCCATCAACACCTTTGTTTCTAGATGTTGGAGCTTGGCCTGTTTTCCAGTGTAGTCCTGTTTCTCTGACTGTGACTAACTGGATGTGCTCTCTTCATCCTCTGACATGGGAGCTGGCTCGGAGCTCGTCTGCCTGGCTGTGTGTTTCCTGTGGAGCTGGTTGACAGTTGCCTTTTGTATCTATGCTTCTTTTTCTATGTCTGCTCTTGTCTCCTTGAACCCCAGTGGGCCTCAGCAGATGGCCGCTCACACTGAGCATGGTTCTGCTGGAGGTTTCTTCCTGTTCAAAGGGAGTTTTTCCTCTCCACTGTCGCTACAAGCATGCTTAGTGTGAGGGATTGCTGAAGAGTCAATGAGTCGATGCAATCAGCTGGTTTTCCTTAGATAGAAAACTTTGAATCAATCTGACTGGATGATCTGGTGAACTGGAAAGTGACCTGAGATGACATGATGTGAATTGGAGCTATAGAAATAAACTGAATAGAATAGAATTAATCTTAGAAACAAAAGGCATAGATGTAGTTACTGCATCTGGAGTATTTAAGAACATATGTATGTAGTTATGTTGGTAATGTCCCTATAATATGGATCAAACATAGAGCCAACCTTAATCTAAACTCAATTCATGCTTCAGTCATTAGTCTAACTGCATGCGAAATGTCCTCACTTTGATACAAACACGGCTCTATCAGTCTAGACCGGAGTTTCCTCCCACATACACAATCCAAGGCTGGTGTGGAAATCTAGGAATGATATCAGTCAAAGGCAGACAGAGCAGAGAAAGTGAGGAGGATGAAAGGAAGTAGTAAAAAACAGGAAACTAGTGAGGCTGGAGGGGACTGGAAAGCAAACTGCAGGAGAGGAGATATTGATTTATAGTTTTCCTGCTGCTTTCTGCCTCATTAGCCGATGAAAAACACACAGCAGTGTTTGATGCAGCAGCTCAGATAGATCCATCCCAGGAGGAAGGCGAGCTTTCAGCCTGCCGTCTACTAATACTGACTGATTGTTTGAATAAATATTGTTCCCTGGTTTAAATGTCTGCTTTTTTCACTTTAATGAAATAAAATTGTTTTCTCTTTCAGATTCTTCTCCTCAATACCAGGAACAAGATGAAGAACTTTAAGAGACGGTTCTCGCTGTCGGTCCCACGTACTGAAACCATCGAGGAGAACGAGTTCACTGAACAAATCAACCAGCTGAACATCAGACACACCCAGGGTAAGAACTATGGTCCTGGTGGTGCTGATGGTGCTGATGGTCCTGGTGGTGCTGATGGTCCTGGTGGTGCTGATGGTCCTGGTGGTGCTGATGGTCCTGATGGTGCTGGTGGTCCTGATGGTGCTGGTGGTGCTGGTGGTGCTGGTGGTGCTGGTGGTCCTGATGGTGCTGGTGGTGCTGGTGGTGCTGGTGGTGCTGATGGTGCTGGTGGTGCTGATGGTGCTGGTGGTGCTGATGGTGCTGGTGGTCCTGATGGTGCTGGTGGTGCTGGTGGTGCTGATGGTCCTGGTGGTGCTGATGGTCCTGATGGTGCTGATGGTCCTGGTGGTGCTGATGGTCCTGATGGTGCTGATGGTCCTGATGGTGCTGATGGTCCTGGTGGTGCTGATGGTCCTGATGGTGCTGGTGGTCCTGATGGTGCTGGTGGTGCTGGTGGTGCTGGTGGTGCTGGTGGTCCTGATGGTGCTGGTGGTGCTGGTGGTGCTGGTGGTGCTGATGGTGCTGGTGGTGCTGATGGTGCTGGTGGTGCTGATGGTGCTGGTGGTCCTGATGGTGCTGGTGGTGCTGGTGGTGCTGATGGTCCTGGTGGTGCTGATGGTCCTGATGGTGCTGATGGTCCTGGTGGTGCTGATGGTCCTGATGGTGCTGATGGTCCTGATGGTGCTGGTGGTCCTGATGGTGCTGGTGGTGCTGGTGGTGCTGGTGGTGCTGGTGGTCCTGATGGTGCTGGTGGTGCTGGTGGTGCTGGTGGTGCTGATGGTGCTGGTGGTGCTGATGGTGCTGGTGGTGCTGATGGTGCTGGTGGTCCTGATGGTGCTGGTGGTGCTGGTGGTGCTGATGGTCCTGGTGGTGCTGATGGTCCTGATGGTGCTGGTGGTCCTGATGGTCCTGGTGGTGCTGATGGTCCTGGTGGTGCTGATGGTCCTGATGGTGCTGGTGGTCCTGATGGTGCTGGTGGTGCTGGTGGTGCTGGTGGTCCTGATGGTGCTGGTGGTGCTGGTGGTCCTGATGGTGCTGGTGGTCCTGATGGTCCTGGTGGTGCTGATGGTCCTGATGGTGCTGGTGGTCCTGATGGTGCTGGTGGTGCTGGTGGTGCTGGTGGTCCTGATGGTGCTGGTGGTGCTGGTGGTCCTGATGGTGCTGGTGGTCCTGATGGTCCTGGTGGTGCTGATGGTCCTGGTGGTGCTGATGGTCCTGATGGTGCTGGTGGTGCTGATGGTGCTGGTGGTGCTGGTGGTGCTGGTGGTCCTGATGGTGCTGGTGGTGCTGGTGGTGCTGGTGGTGCTGATGGTGCTGGTGGTGCTGATGGTGCTGGTGGTCCTGATGGTGCTGGTGGTGCTGATGGTGCTGGTGGTGCTGATGGTGCTGGTGGTCCTGATGGTGCTGATGGTGCTGGTGGTCCTGATGGTCCTGATGGTGCTGGTGGTCCTGGTGGTGCTGATGGTGCTGGTGGTGCTGATGGTGCTGGTGGTCCTGATGGTGCTGGTGGTGCTGGTGGTCCTGGTGGTGCTGGTGGTGCTGGTGGTGCTGCTGGTGGTGCTGGTGGTCCTGATGGTCCTGATGGTGCTGATGGTGCTGGTGGTGCTGATGGTGCTGGTGGTGCTGATGGTGCTGGTGGTGCTGGTGGTCCTGGTGGTGCTGGTGGTGCTGGTGGTCCTGATGGTGCTGGTGGTGCTGGTGGTCCTGATGGTGCTGGTGGTCCTGGTGGTGCTGATGGTGCTGGTGGTGCTGATGGTGCTGGTGGTCCTGATGGTGCTGGTGGTCCTGGTGGTGCTGGTGGTGCTGGTGGTCCTGATGGTGCTGGTGGTGCTGGTGGTGCTGATGGTGCTGGTGGTGCTGCTGGTGGTGCTGGTGGTCCTGATGGTCCTGATGGTGCTGGTGGTGCTGCTGGTGGTGCTGGTGGTCCTGATGGTCCTGATGGTGCTGATGGTCCTGGTGGTGCTGGTGGTCCTGGTGGTGCTGATGGTGCTGATGGTGCTGGTGGTGCTGGTGGTCCTGATGGTGCTGATGGTGCTGGTGGTCCTGATGGTGCTGGTGGTCCTGGTGGTCCTGGTGGTGCTGATGGTGCTGATGGTGGTGATGGTCCTGGTGGTGCTGATGGTGCTGGTGGTCCTGATGGTGCTGGTGGTGCTGGTGGTCCTGGTGGTGCTGATGGTGCTGGTAGTGCTGGTGGTGCTGGTGGTGCTGGTGGTCCTGATGGTGCTGGTGGTGCTGGTGGTGCTGGTGGTGCTGGTGGTGCTGATGGTCCTGGTGGTGCTGGTGGTGCTGGTGGTGCTGGTGGTCCTGATGGTGCTGGTGGTGCTGGTGGTGCTGATGGTCCTGATGGTGCTGGTGGTGCTGGTGGTGCTGGTGGTGCTAATGGTGCTGGTAGTGCTGGTGGTGCTGGTGGTGCTGGTGGTCCTGATGGTGGTGATGGTGCTGGTGGTGCTGGTGGTGCTGATGGTGCTGATGGTGGTGATGGTGCTGGTGGTGCTGATGGTCCTGGTGGTGCTGATGGTCCTGATGGTGCTGATGATGCTGGTGGTGCTGGTGGTGCTGATGGTCCTGATGGTGCTGATGATGCTGGTGGTGCTGGTGGTGCTGGTGGTGCTGATGGTGCTGGTGGTGCTGGTGGTGCTGATGGTGCTGGTGGTGCTGATGGTGCTGATGATGCTGGTGGTGCTGGTGGTGCTGATGGTCCTGATGGTGCTGATGATGCTGGTGGTGCTGGTGGTGCTGGTGGTGCTGGTGGTGCTGGTGGTGCTGATGGTGCTGGTGGTGCTGATGATGCTGGTGGTGCTGGTGGTGCTGGTGGTGCTGATGGTGCTGATGGTGCTGGTGGTGCTGGTGGTGCTGGTGGTGCTGGTGGTCCTGATGGTGCTGATGATGCTGGTGGTGCTGATGGTCCTGATGGTCTTGATGGTGCTGATGGTGCTGATGGTGCTGATGGTGCTGGTGGTGCTGGTGATGCTGATGGTGCTGGTGGTCCTGATGGTCCTGATGGTGCTGGTGGTGCTGGTGGTCCTGATGATGCTGGTGGTCCTGGTGGTGCTGATGGTCCTGGTGGTGCTGATGGTCCTGGTGGTGCTGATGGTGCTGGTGGTCCTGGTGGTGCTGGTGGTGCTGGTGGTGCTGGTGGTGCTGGTGGTGCTGATGGTCCTGATGGTGCTGATGGTGCTGGTGGTGCTGGTGGTGCTGATGGTCCTGATGGTGCTGATGGTGCTGGTGGTCCTGATGGTGCTGGTGGTGCTGGTGGTGCTGATGGTCCTGATGGTGCTGATGGTGCTGGTGGTCCTGATGGTGCTGGTGGTGCTGATGGTCCTGGTGGTGCTGGTGGTCCTGATGGTGCTGGTGGTGCTGGTGGTCCTGATGGTCCTGATGGTGCTGATGGTGCTGATGGTCCTGATGGTGCTGATGGTGCTGGTGGTGCTGATGGTGCTGATGGTCCTGGTGGTGCTGATGGTGCTGATGGTCCTGATGGTGCTGGTGGTCCTGATGGTGCTGATGGTGCTGGTGGTCTTGATAGTGCTGATGGTCCTGATGGTGCTGGTGGTGCTGATGGTCCTGATGGTCCTGATGGTGCTGATAGTGCTGATGATGCTGATGATCCTGATGGTGCTGGTGGTCCTGATGGTGCTGATGGTGCTGGTGGTCCTGATGGTGCTGATGGTCCTGGTGGTGCTGGTGGTGCTGGTGGTCCTGATGGTCCTGATGGTCCTGGTGGTGCTGATGGTGCTGGTGGTGCTGATGGTCCTGATGATGCTGATGGTGCTGGTGGTGCTGATGGTCCTGGTGGTCCTGATGGTGTTGATGGTCCTGGTGGTCCTGATGGTCCTGATGGTCTTGATAGTGCTGATGGTCCTGATGGTCCTGATGGTGGTGATGGTCCTGGTGGTCCTGATGGTCCTGGTGGTCCTGATGGTCCTGATGATGCTGATGGTCCTGGTGGTCCTGATGGTCCTGGTGGTGCTGATGGTGCTGGTGGTCCTGATGGTGCTGGTGGTGCTGGTGTTCGGGTGGTGCTGATGGTCCTGATGGTCCTGGTGGTGCTGATGGTGCTGGTGGTCCTGGTGGTGCTGATGGTGCTGGTAGTGCTGGTGGTGCTGATGGTGCTGGTAGTGCTGGTGGTGCTGGTGGTGCTGATGGTGCTGGTAGTGCTGGTGGTGCTGGTGGTGCTGATGGTCCTGATGGTGGTGATGGTCCTGATGGTGGTGATGGTCCTGATGGTCCTGATGGTGGTGATGGTCCTGGTGGTCCTGATGGTCCTGGTGGTCCTGATGGTCCTGATGGTCCTGATGTTCCTGATGGTCCTGATGGTGGTGATGGTCCTGGTGGTCCTGATGGTCCTGGTGGTCCTGATGGTCCTGATGGTCCTGATGGTGCTGATGGTCCTGGTGGTCCTGATGGTCCTGGTGGTGCTGATGGTCCTGGTGGTGCTGATGGTCCTGATGGTCCTGATGATGCTGTGGTCCTGGTGGTCCTGATGGTCCTGGTGGTCCTGATGGTCCTGATGATGCTGAGGGTCCTGGTGGTGCTGATGGTCCTGGTGGTGCTGATGGTCCTGATGGTCCTGATGGTCCTGATGGTCCTGATGGTCCTGATGGTCCTGATGTTCCTGATGGTCCTGATGTTGCTGATGGTCCTGATGGTTCTGATGGTCCTGATGGTCCTGATGATCCTGATGTTCCTGATGTTCCTGATGGTGCTGATGGTCCTGATGGTGCTGGTGGTCCTGATGGTGCTGATGGTCCTGATGGTGCTGATGGTCCTGATGGTGCTGATGGTCCTAATGTTCCTGATGGTCCTGATGTTCCTGATGGTCCTGATGGTCCTAATGGTCCTGATGGTCCTGATGTTCCTGATGGTCCTGATGGTCCTGATGATCCTGATGTTCCTGATGGTCCTGATGGTCCTGATGGTCCTGGTGGTGCTGATGGTCCTGATGGTCCTGATGTTCCTGATGGTCCTGATGGTCCTGATGGTCCTGATGGTCCTGATGTTCCTGATGGTCCTGATGGTTC